ACCGATTTCTCGAATTTACGGCGCTCCGAAATACACGCGCGCGGCGCTCCTGCCCGAAGGACGCCCGCACGCCCTGACGCCTGATCTAGCCGCCTTCACATCCCAAATCTATTTAAATTGGTGATTAATCATTTAATATTGATTATGTACTTTTTCATGAGTCAATAAAATCACTTAGAGGTTTTTGGAGTATAGAAAATGTTTTTCAACACTGACAAATTCCCTGTGGGTCTGCCCTCGCAACAAACAGAGATTTCCGGGACTGCGGTAGTTACTATATATACTCCGAAGATAATTCAATAAACAAGATTTTTGAATCTTATTACTTGTTTACACGTTCATCACTTGGAAATGATTTAGAAAAGGAGATGAAAGGGAATTTGCAAGTAAACACGAGTGAAATACTTCGGCAAATGTTATAGGTTTTAAATCGAGGATTAAGTGAAGTCAGGTCAAAACGCTATTTCATCATTTACGTATTTGTTTAGAAATACTATATTTTCATCGAATTTAATTTTCAAAGAAAGAAACACAGAGAGAAAAACTTTCGGTTTCATTCAGAAACTCTTGTGCACAGTTGCAAGAGTACGGAAAGGTCGCTGATTTTATGTGATTTTTGGCATTAAATAAAACAAATAATAAATGAATTAAATAAAATTAAATAAAAATCTGAAAGCAATTAGACATGTGTGAAAAATGTTTTCAATATTTTTTACGACACCACGTCATTCGGTTTCTTAGTCATGGCGTTACAAACGTATACTCTACAAATCAATTACTTGTTTATTTTAATTAATATTAATATTTGTATTAATATTAATAATTAAGATATTCATTTCTACGTTCTTCAGGTTGAAAGTTCAATTCAAATTGGAACGGAAAATGTATTACAAGGAATGTTCACATAATGTATTACAAGGAATTTTGGTCTCGTGTGGTACACTTTTTTGACAAGCGAGCGCTGAGCAGAGTGAACAGAGGCACGTGTGCTGCACGTGTGGCGTACGTGCCCTTGATCGCTGTCGTATAATTATGCATGGCCCAGAATACAGCCCTGCGATGCACCATAGACCCAAACGGCGCTCGTTTGAAATTCATACGACGACCCGCAGAGCTGAAAGCGGCAAGTTGGTCGATGTGACACTTCGACACACCTCTTTGTTCGAACGCTCTGTCGACTGACGGCTGTGC